TTATTTTATATATTAGGACCTATTGTGAACCTATGAACCTAGGTCCTAAAATTGAGACCTAGTCTTTAAAAAATAGGTCTCAAGACCAGGTCCTAAAGTCCTAGACTCAAGAACTTTGCCATCCCTAGTTGAAGAGGATACCAACCTACTGGATTGGTAAAAAGTAAATCAAAAAGCTTATCCAATTCTATCAAAAATGGCATCTGATTATCTTAGCATTCAAGCTACCAGCTTGTATGTAAATATGCCTTTTTGATAGCTGGCAATACTATTTTAAGAACTCGTAACCGCCTTCACCCAAAAACAGCAAGAGCATGTCTGTGTGTTAAAAGCTGGATTAGTAATGGAGTGGGTAAAAATTGAATTTAAAAAAAAAAAAAAAAAAAAAAAAAAAAAAAGAAAAAAAAAAACATTTCCTGTAATTAGTCTAAAACATTGTTATCATTATATATATTGTATCTTCTATCTTTGCTTATAAGAAATATTAGCATATAAACTATCTTTAAAATGTTTAAATCTGTGAATTTTACCTTTTATCTTTTTGGAGACCTTCGATGAATCTTCACTTCCCAATTTAACAATACTGGTATTTTATTCATTTAAAAAGCAATAATGATTGACATTTTGTTCATTGCTACCAGAGGTATATGAAAAAATTATTACCTTGTAAAAGTCATAATATATGTAATTATGATTCTGATCTAACTTTTATATATACCGAAAAAAAAGTACTGTGAATTGAGATTGATCTGGCTTAAAACTTATGAATATAAATTATTACCAACAAATCGTATTCTGAGTTAACAGCTTCACACAATAAAAGAATAAAGTTTCTTAGCTAGTATCGTTTTAGAATATCTTATCTTGTATATGTATACATCAAGTACTTTTTTTTTATTAAAAATTCTGAATTTCTATTGGCTAAAATAGACCGGTCCAAAACTAGTTTTGAACCGGACTGCTTAACGGACTGGTCTATAGGACCAGTCTATTAACCGTGGTCTGGTCTGCAGTTTGCAACTCGGACCGGTCTTTTGAACCAGAACCGGACCAGACTAGACTATAATATCCTTAATATGAATAGTGAGTTATACCTTAGTTAGTTTAAAAATGGATAGCAGTTGTGACCAGAGGGTTTAAATGGATATTTCCATAGTTGGGATACAGGTATGGCAGCTAGTATAGAACCTAGGGCAGACTACTTAAATAGGCAACCAAAAGTTGCATGTATGGCTAGTTGTACTTTCATTAGTAATAATCAGAGAGCTTAAATAAGTAATCTTCTAGTTAGGTTGCATGTATGGTGGCTAGTATAGAACTCAGATGAACTATTTAAATTAGGTATCAAAAGTATATGTGTGGCTTGATGTACTCTCATTGTAACTGTATAACCTAAAGTTAATAAGTCTAATAAAAAGTCCTCGGCCATAGAGGTCACCTTAATACTATAAAAAAAAAAAAAGAGATTTTAATTTTTTTTTTAACTATAGCTATAATATTTATAGTAAAAAACTTTTTTTAAATTTTATTAAAATAGTATATAAATTATTTTTTTTTTTACTTTATTTAAAATAGTATCTTGTAATTTAGTAAGTATTAAAAATTTTTGTTTAAATTATAAATATAAAATTATATTTTTTTTAACAATATATAATTTTTTTTTAATATTTAAGATAAGACTTTGCTCTAATATATAATTTTTTTAAAAGAAAATTTATTAGTATTATATAATATATATATATTTATTAAATTACAAATTTAAATAATATGCTATTACTATGCTATCAACCTATTTTTATAAATAAAAAATTAAACTTTTGTTTATAGTTAAAGTAAAAGTATAGTTTATACTACAGTACAATTTAGAGTTCCTAAGTTCAGTTCAGTTTAGTTTAGTTTAGTTTGGGTTCAGTTTTTATTTTCAATTAAATCTAAAGAAAATTTTAAATTTTACAAATTTTTAAACTTAAATATAAAAGATTTAAGTTTTAAAATTTATAAAATTTAAATTTTTTTTTAGATTTAATTAAAATTAAAAACTGAACCCAAATTGAACTAAACTGAACTGAACTAAACTTAGAAACTCTAGTATAGTTTTTCAAGAAAATTTTTGTTAAAAGCCAAAAAGTGGTTTAATAATTAAAATTTTAAAATATTAAGTAATTTTATATTATCTATATATATACACTTTATGTACAAATAAAAATTGCTACAAATAGAAATTACCTTAATTGAACACTTGTAAAATTAAATAAAAATATTTATTAAGTTTGATTATATAGTTATAAAAAAAATTTGATTATATTTTTAAAAATTTTTAAATATAATGTTATAACTTTAATTATTAAACTTTAAATATATATATATATATATATATTGATATTTAAGGTAAGGCTATGCTTTAAATAAATATTTTTTGTCGGGGTGAAGCTGAAATCGGATAATGCTGAAATTTTGACCTATTTTATTATGAAATTTTCGGGCCTTTTCATTAGGGGTTTTTTTAGGGTTAGGTTAGGGTTTAGGGTTAGTGTTATTAGTATGTGAATTTTAGTAGATATTATAGATTTAAATGGGGACTCTAAATTTCAGCATCATCCCCGACATTTTTTAATAATTACTTTATTAAATTTGTTAAAAAATTTTTTATTTTAACTTTACTAATAAATAAAAAAATTTTTGTTAAATTTGGTTTAGTATTAAAATTTTTATAATGTTAAAATAAAAAAAAAACAAGATAAATTAGACTTTTTAAATACAACTTTTCTAAATACATATTTTATAAAAAAATTTTTTTAAGTATATAATTTTTTGTAGCTTTACTATATATACTTATACAGTAGATTTTTATTTTTATAAATACAATACATTTTAAAATATAAAATACAAATTGTTTAAAAAGGCTTAACTATATTTTTTCTTTATTAACTTAAAGTAACTATTAAACACGTAGTTACTAAATAAATTTCCTAAAATTTTTTTTAATTTAATTTTATATAAGTCAGTAAAACCAAAATAAATTTTCATTAAATTTAACTTAGCAATTATTAAGAAATTTTTATTTAAATGCATTAAAAATACCAGAGCCAAATGCTGATCTATACGTTTAGGGAGCTGATTAATGATTTTGGGGGTAAAAATCGACAATGAACATGCAGGGTCAATATGCAATATAATACTGGTACATAACAAGAAATAAGCCTTGCGATCAAATAACAATTTCTGTTTTTTAAAAGAAATTTATTTGAGGAAAATCATGTCATCAGTCGTTTTAGCCAATGCTTTATTAAGAGACATTAGTAAACGTTATGAAAATGCAGATGATTATGATGTGAATCTTTACGTTGGTGAAGAACCAGAAATCGAAGTTTTTCAAGCTCATTCTTTTATCTTACGAGCTAGGTCTGCATATTTTCGTGCCGCATTATCTAATAATTGGGTAAAAAAAGAAAATGATAAAATTTCCTTTAGAAAACCAAATATTTCACCTAAATTGTTTGGACCTATCTTAAAGTAAATTACGATTTTTTAAAATTTTTTTTTCAGAAATTTTGGTGTGTAAAAACGTATAATTTAAACTAACACCATACATAATACATCACATAGGTATATGTATACAAGTAGTATCGAACTAAATATAGAGTCAGCAAATAGGCAGGAATATTTTGAGCTTATAGCAGCAGCAGATGAATTGACACTTACAGAATTAGTTGATCATATACAAGAGCATATAATTTCGAATGAAAAAGGATGGTTACTCGAAAATTTTGTTCAAGTCTTTCAAAAAATTTCCACATATGAAGCGATGCGTAAACTTCAAGATTATTGTGCAGAATTAATTTGTAATGACCCGTCAGGTAATTTAATATTTTAATCTATTACATAACATTGTACTATAGTAATTAAAAAATTAAACGAGTTTATCATCAAATTCAGTCGTTTTTACATCGGATTTTGGATCACTTGAAGAGCCAGCCTTATTAGCATTATTACAACGTGATGATCTCGTGATGGATGAAATTGATATTTGGGAGTGGTAATTATATATATATATTTATTTAAATCAGATGAGATTATTTTTTCTTTATAATATAATGAAAAAAAAATATGTATATACATATATTTTAGTGTTATTAAATGGGGACTTGCTAAGAATAAAATGATTGATCCGGATGTCACAAAATGGACACAACGAGATTTTGAAGTAATGGAAAGAACGCTTCACAATTGTATACAATATATTAGATTTTTTCAAATTCCAGCACATGAATATTTTTATAAAGTTCGACCATACAAGAAAATATTACCACGAAACCTTAAAGAAGATCTTCAACTTTTTTATATTGTTCCATTAGGACAACCTAAATATACATCGGTATTACCACCTCGAATGGGTCTAAGGCCAGACTCAGTCATAATAACATCACAACACGCAGCAATTATTGCAAACTGGATTTACAATAAACCTAGAGATACATACAAGCCTCATGAGATACCATATCATTTTAAATTGTTAATTCGTGGCAGTCGGGATGGTTTTACACAAGAAGAATTTCATAAACGTTGCGATCATAAAGGAGCAAACATTGTAGTTGTTAAGGTAGAAGGAGCACCTATAGTTGTTGGTGGATATAATCCCCTTGGATGGACATCAGCTAATGATTGGAGACAAACAAGCGAAAGTTTTATATTTTCACTAAACAAGCAACTAAAGACAACAATAATGGGCCGAGTGAGGAATCCTAATTGTGCTATCCGGGATACAGTTTCAAAGCAGTGGATCGGATTTGGAGTAGGAGATCTTCATTTTCTTGATGGATCATGTAGTCCGAATGATTACGATGCAAAAATTTTAGATTCAACAAGATACATTGTTGAGGATTATGAAGTCTTTCAGATTTTGAATAAAGTTAAACCAGGTAATGGTATGAAAGATAGACCATCAAAGCCAACATCTATTTTCGGATTCATGTGATTAAGGCAAATTACAAAAATATTAGCATGAAAATTATATTAAGTCATACGAAAAAGTAATATAATACATGTTAAATTTTTTTTTCTTGAAAGTTTTATATATCCATTGGTTAATATTGAATATTATCAAATGGATGAATAGTCATTTTAATGGCAAAGAATTTTTTTTCAAGAGATGACGTTATTTTAATTTCTTTTGAAAGGGATAGTAGTATAATAACAATTTTTGAAGGTTAACACGGCTGAAATACAATAACAATTAGGTATAATTTCAAAGATAGACGCGATGTTTGTCATTGCTGGTGATAAAAAATAATTCTGTTTTATCTTTTCTAAAATAGATTTAGTTAAATATAATTGCGATTCATAATTTGATGCATCATTTAGAATTTATCTCATTAAGATATACTATATTCATGTAGGTCGTTTATTCTCGTAATAAATTCATCTTTGCACATGATATTGAGTGAGACGTGTATACAAAATATTATTTTTAAGTAATATTGTAATATAACAATAGAGTAACAGATTACGTAAATATACACTATGGCATTTTTTTTTTTTACTGAAGAGAATTGTCGTTATTACTGTTACCAAATTATACTTATACTGATTATAAAACCTATGCTTCTAATTGTTAGGATGACCAAAGCATTTATAGTTGCTGCTTGAAACGTAAAGACAATCTTGGAATTCGTAGACTAGAGATTGGAATCGATGAATTTCGAGCATCTTTTGGATACAAACTTTTTGATTTTTGAGCATCGGTAAAAGATGTTCAAATGTTCAAGTTTTTAAAATATTTATTAAAAAAACATATTGTATAAAAAAAATTTAGCGTAACATAAATTTTTCAATTGTACTGTTTTATTTAATACGTATACAATGTACTGTACATGTTACATTAAGTTTTCTTCATATTTAGTGGTGTACCGGTAGCTGTATTTAAAAAATTACGACCCAAAGTATGTTACGAGGTGTAGTAATACCCGTCGTATTATTGCGGCACATGTAAGCCGTTGTTACGATTAGGGGATAGCTTTTAGGGTCTTGAACCAATTTAGCTTCGATCGTGAACAAATAGTGATTAATGTCAAATAGTTTAAATCGACAAACTAACACAAAATAATTAAAAGTTATAAGGTTTCTCTTTATTAACATAAATCATACAATAATACTGAATACTATCAACAACCGTTCTTCCCTTCATGAAACTACACCCTTATATATCTTTAATTCGTATGGGTTTTAATAGAAAAATTATATTCCTGACGAGTTGCTTTTGCTTTTGCGCATTTCAGATGGTTTGATGGGATGCCTTTTTAACGATTTGTGTAAAAAAAAAACGAGCCCTCGTTTTGGATTTCAATCCCTCTCAACCCCTCGCTTGCCACAAACTATACCAAAATTAGTAATTCATAAAATAACGATAATGATGACACTAAAAAAAAAATTCGAGAATAACACTGTATGTCGTATTTGTAATATACTTCGCAATAAAAGAATAAGGTAATATTACCTCATATATGTGTTGAATATTATTAATTTCAAGCTAACGCTATTTTTCTTATATTTCATTTATTAACGATGTTGATAATTTGTTTCTTTTAATTTAACTAATTTTGAATCGTCAACTAAAAATTCAAATTGATATATACAGTATTGTGTGTCGATCGTTCTTAGCAATGATAAAAAAATAAAAATAAAAATAAAACAAAATAATTAATTAAAATATAAATAAGGCAAAGACAAAAATAAAAATACGTAAAAATAAAAGAATTTGCAGGTATCACAACAGTGATGGCGTAATTGACGAAATTAGTCAAATTTTTATGTATCAAGACATTATGCTTAGGTAGAGAACGTTAATCGAATCAACTTGCCATATATTCATTATGATAAAAGCCACTTAATGAATAGAATTCATAATGAGCATAATTATTAAATTAAAATTGCTTTATATATTTTCTTATTACAAGTCACTTTGAAAATTCCGATATAATGATAACTAATTATTTAAATTTTCGTGATCAAATATTTGAGAGAATAATGCTTTACGTAACTAATTAATCTCTAAGAACTGATATTACAGAAGTTAAGTATGCATTTGTATTAAAAAAATTTTTATTAACGTATTGTAAATTAATAGATTTATCAGTGGCGTTCCGAAACCAAACGGATCGTTTCCCTAGTATACTAAATACTACAAGAATTACGATCACAGCGTAGCATTTTAATACGACTGGAGTTACTACCTACGTCAATAATACCAAAAAAAGTTGCAAATTCGGTCGTAATTAATTACCTCGATACAGCTACACCACTATTCATATTCTGTTTTAGAATGTCACTGCCAAGTTACTTTGAATTTAATAACATTTCCCGTGTCTGAAAATACGCGTTTACTTGGTGTAAGAAATTTTCGCGCCGTTTCACTTAAAATTGCCATTTGTAAAAGCTATCACATTTTCGTTATCACCTTGATTTTGAAAGTTCAATGAAAAATAGATTTAATAAATTCTTTATGGTAAACTTGTTGATATATCAATATAATTAGATTCGTCTTCTTCACTATTAAAAGAGAACCTTACGAGAATATTAACAGAAGACACAGTATCTTTATTCAATATTAAATAAAATTCTATGTTTTTTAATTAATAATGTTATTAATTGGAAAAAATTATCGTTAATAATACTGTAATAAATCAAACCAAAATTTAATTTTGACAGATGTTCGATGATTGACCAAATTAAAAACTCAATGAAGATGCTCGAAATTTTCTATTAATGCTAGAATAATTATTTACAGATTCCACCCGACTTTTCATAACATACGATATATTAAATATTTACGGTATGAGTCAATTATACAATATTAAAATTGAAATGAATTACATATTAGCATTTAACCATACAATTGATAATTCCATGAGCGTTATAAAATATTCGACGTGTCAATTTTTTTCTGAAAAAGTTTGAATAAAACAAAATGAACCAAATAAAAAATTTGATAGAAGAAATCTTATCGACCAGAATCAATTATTCAAAGTTGTTGCAATTTAAATGAAAACGCGCTTATATATGAATATGCATATCTTAAATATCTTAAATATTAATACGCATACAGCATTGTTCTGGTGTAAAAAATAATTGCATACCACACATTTACTTACTTTGTCAGATCTGGATCATGCGATAACACCATTTCTATATAAGAGTGAAAACCTCTAAAAATTATTACGACTATTTGAATCCATTTCCAATGAAAATAAAAAGTAATCTTTTCTAAATGTTAAGAATCTGATCATTCGCGTCCTGTACGCATGTAGGTACTGCACATACGTATGTTCAATACCTGATACTTTGAAAAAACTTCTATAACAGATAAGATTAAATATTAAATCTGTTCTGTCGTTATATTAGAACATTCTGTCAGGTAAAATACCAGATCATGTGTTACCGTTAGATCAGTTTTAGATCCCTCATTTACATCATTTAGGATCACGGGTGATGTTACGATACACCGAATTTTCCATAATCAAATGCGGTAATATAACAAATTTAACTCGCATATTACATTTTATCGTTATACTTCATTGCACAATCTCAAAAGTTATACGTACGTACGTTTGAATATTTATGTGTGTTATGAAAGTGTAAAACTATTCATTATTAACGTGTATATATGTATTATATAGCATTTCATTATATTCTTTCCCTTGATTTGTTGTCCTTGGCATATTCTTCCTCCTAAATATATAAAAACCTTTTTTAAAAATGTTAAAATGGTTGAACAAAGCAATAAACGAAGACCATATAAGATTTATAAGTTATACCGATTTTGAAAATGTGCGTTCTGTTGCGCGAGGTGCATTCGGTGAGGTTTCAGTGGCACGTTGGAAAAGCGGTGATAAGGATGTTGCTCTAAAAGCTTTACTTGATAACCCCAACTCTGGAACTGAAGAATCTTTTGAAAGTTTTGTTCGTGAGGTATTTATAATTTGTTCAATACAACTTTATGTATTAATTTTTCAATTACTTATTCTTGATTATGAAAAAAATTATAGCTTAAATTTCTTAGGCATGTAGATTTCTGCGATAATATTATTCGATTTTATGGTGTCAGTTATGGTGTGTTCTTTTTCATATTTTTATTACATGAAATTCAACTTCATTAATTGTTATGCTAAAATTTATTTTTATTATAAAAAGATCAGAAATCTGCTCGATATTTAATGGTTATACAGTATGCCAATGGTGGAAACCTTAGAGATTTCCTTCGTAATAATTTTGATAAACTTGACTGGGTAACTAAAATTTCAATGGGAAAGCATATTGTTACTGGACTTAACGCTATTCATTCAGAGAATATTTTGCATAGAGATTTAGTAAGAAATTTTATTTTATTTTATTTTATTTTATTTTTTTATTAAATATATATATGTGTGTGCTAATTTTTATTTTACCTACAGCATTCAAAAAACATAGTGATACACGATGGTAGAGTTATGATCACTGATTTTGGTTTATCAAAGTCAAGTCTTGTTAGTTCTGATTCCGTTGTAACAGGGATGGCTGCATATGTGGAACCAAAATGTTTCAAACATCCAAAGTACTTACGAGACAAAGCTTCAGATATCTATAGCTTAGGTGTATTACTCTGGGAAATATCTAGTGGCCGTCCTCCTTTCAATGGTCTAAGCATATTAGATATAGCTGCTAAAGTGGTTAAACGTGAAAGGGAAGATCCATATCCTGGTACACCAATTGAATATGTAACTCTCTATAAACAAGCCTGGGACCATGAGCCGAGTAGACGTCCACTTCTTAATGATATTCGTGATAGACTTAACGCCATGTTAATTGCACGGAATGTAGATCCTTTGGAACAATCTTGCCTGGATGCGCTTAAAGTTGTTAGCAAAAAAAATAACAATAGTTCAAATCCTCCCAACAACATTGTACCACCGCTAGGCCGTATTAACACTAATATAAATGATCAAAATCGCCCGGGTACGAATAATAACAACATTAATAGACCACCTGAACGACCGGTGGTTGCAACAAATTTAAATCAAATAAATAATATTGAACAGGGTAACAATCAACCCAATCCTCAAGTACCGCTGACTGTTGTTGGTCAACATCCAATGCCAATTAAAAATCCTCAACATCCAATGCCAATTAATAATCTTCAACATCCAATGCCAATTAATAATCTTCAACATCAAATGCAAATTAATAATCCTCAACGTCCAATGCCAATTAATAATCCTCAACATCCAATGCAAATTAATAATCCTCAACATCCAATGCAAATTAATAATCCTCAACATCCAATGCCAATTAATAATCCTCAACATCAAGTACCAAACAATATTGTTCATAATCCTACTCAAAACTTTAACGGTCAAAATCAAACGCGACCTAATAATCCTACTCAAAACTTTAACGGTCAAAATCAAACGCGACCTAATAATCCTACTCAAAATTTTAACGGTCAAAATCAAACGCGACCTAATAATCCTACTCAAAACTTTAACGGTCAAAATCAAACGCGGCCTAATAATCCTACTCAAAACTTTAACGGTCAAAATCAAACGCGACCTAATAATCCTACTCAAAACTTTACCGTTCAAAATCAAATGCCACCTAACAATCCTACTCAAAACTTTACCGGCCAGATGCCACCTCATAATCCTAATAATCCTATTCAAAATTTTACCGGTCAAATACCACATAATAATCCTACTCAGAACTTTACCAGTCAAAATAAAGTGCCAGCTATTGTTCCTGCTCAGAATTTTATTAGACAAAATTCAATGCCACCTAATAATGCTCAGAACTTTGTTACTCAAAATCCAATGCCACCTAATAATGCTCAGAACTTTGTTACTCAAAATCCAATGGCTCAAAATACAACGCCAATTCATAAACCGAATGGTTTTGTTCAAAACAATGCGTCTAATTTTACTCAACCACAACCAGTTGTTAATAACCCTGGTCAAAATCTTAACCAGCAACCGTTTACTGGCAATTATAATCGACCACGGGTTTTTCCGCAAACAGATCAAAATCACATTCCTGTAAAATCTGCTCCAGTTGTACCTATAGTGAATCAACGACCCATTCCCCCTAAACCGGCTGCACTAAATGGAGGTCAACAAATCAATCCAGGAAATAATATACAATACCTTAACCCTAACCCTGGTCCAATTCCAAGTAATGTAAACAATATTGGTCCAGGTCCGGGTGGAAATCCAACTGTAAATGTACAAGGAAATCCACAAAATCAACAAAATACATACACTCAACCTATCTATTCAAATATGCCTCAAAACATTCAATCTCCAAACGGTGTTAATTTAGGTCCTAGTGGACAAAATGCAACAGGTTTTACACAACAGACTCATAATATTGTTCCAAATTCTCGTGTGCAGACTCCTGATGCTACTCCAAATTCTGGCGTACAAACACCCATTACTCCAAATTCTGGTGGGAAACCTCCAAATTCTGGTGGGCAACCTCCAAATTCTGGTGGGAAACCTCCAAATTCTGGTGGGCAACCTCCAAATTCTGGTGGGCAACCTCCTAATACTACTCCATTACAAACGCCCTCTCCTAATGGCAATAGTGCCTATTTCACTAGCGTTATAAATATAGAGGTAAGTTTTTTTTTTTTTTGATATTCCTTATTTATTTATGATCTGGTTTATAATGTATTTTTACGAATTTGTTTGCCCTTGTCTTTAGTGCCCAATGATACAACAATGCATTGAGGTTAAGGAAAGATATAAAAAAGAATATGGAACTGTGCTGGGTTATGAAGATACTAAAGAATGCCATGCCGGCTATCACGCTGGATTTGGTGACATTGTAGGATTACGTCATCATTTTAACTTTGGTGCGAAAGTTAATGGAATCTCTTATTTCACAAGCACGAGAGAAAATCTTGTAATAATCGCTGCAAGATATTGTAGTAGAAGGAAATTGATTGAGATATTTAAACTTTTGAAAGAATATAACGCAAATTTCAGATGTGTTTCAAATAGCACTGGAAGAACTGCGTTACATTGTTTATACGAAAACAGATCATTTACCAGAGATCTCGATGATCATAAAGGATTACAAAAGTTTCATAAGTATATGAAAGAAGCAATAGAGTTTTTAGTAGATAATGGATGTAATATTAATGCTATGGATAATGGTAGACAAACATTATTATCGTACTATTTATCTGACAGATTTAGACACAAAGAACACACGCCGATTATTTTGACGTTACTAAAAAAAGGAGCAGACCCAAATATTCCATCAAAATTAACAATAGCATCATATAATGCACCTAATGCATTGTTTTTGGCTGTAAAGATTGGTTGGTCAACCGAAGTTCTTGATGCACTATTGAATCGAGGAGCAAGAGGTGACATAAAAGATGATAATGGTGATAATCTGTTAGTATTAGCTGCTAAAGAAAAACAATCTGATACAAAAAAACAATCTGATACAAAAAAACAGTTTGATACAATTAGTTGGATATTAGAGACAATCCCTGAAGCTAGTACTAGAGACTGTATAGAAGCCGCTATGAAGTTCTTAGATAGAAAAGACAGAAATAAACTTTCTAAATGGAAAGGATCTGATGGTGAGAGTAGACGACGATTAGTTCAAGAAAATTTAGAACTCAAAAAGCAGTTAAAAACAGGAACCGAATCTTCAAAGGAACTAAATGATGAAAGTGCATCTGAATAATGTGAAAAAAATTTTTTATTTGAAAAAAATTTTTTTTAAAAAAAAATTATACGTATGTTTGATTATAATTGTGTATTTATTTTTTTTATATTTATCTTTTATATTCATCTTGGTTTTCATATAAATATATATAAGGAATTCAGATATTTCCTTGATACATTCATTCCTCTATAGACATTTACTTTTTATATATGTACTGTACATAATGATTATTTTGATTATTTATTACGCGAAAAACAATAAAATTGGTTTTTATAAATGCAATTCTATAATTCAGCATCTTTTCATTTGGTGTTTTTTTTTTTGGTTTACAGATAATTGTATCTTTCGTTTGTTCCAATTTTTCCTGTTCATGTGTGAAGCAGAAGTTGTCCAACCAATCAGAATATTTAATCAATTAAAACGCTGTAATAAATAGAGAGCACGTGTATCAAAAAGTTGTCCAGCCAATCAAAATATCTAGCGATTTCAAAGCTGTGAATTCTACCATATGAGTGTCACTGAATATATCTAAAAGCAGAACCTTTTATACTACAGAATCAAATTTTATTCAATTTATTGGATAGCTAAAATTATGAGGCTAATGTATAGAATTTGGTAAATCAATACGGCATGTACCGTATCTTTTACCGTGCCGTATTATTGCCGTGTCATAACGCCATAACTAGAGATGGGCAAGGTAATCACTTATTGCGTAAAAAGTCATTTCACATAACGTGTCGATTTAGCATGTTATT